AGGCATCACGTCCGTGTCAAGTAGACGGACTCCTACCTGCATCTACTACTATTACTCCACACATCGACCGACTCCTGCCTGCATCTAGAGTATTAAGTTCATAAGAAGAGAGCAATGCTTTAAGTACGATGACATGATGTAGAGGGATGAACTCAAGCAATATGATGAAAACCCCATATTTTTACCATTGATGGCAACAATACAATACGTGCCTCGATACCCCTACAATGTCACGGTGTGAGGACACCGCAAGATTGAACCCAAAACTAAGCACCTCTCCCATTGCAAGAAGAGCCAATCTAGTTGGCCAAAGCAAACCGTAATTTGAAGAGAAATACAAAGATATCAAATCATGCATATAAGAATTCAGAGAAGATTCAAATAATATTCATAGATAATCTAATCATAAATCCACAATTCATCGGATCTCGACAAACACACCACAAAAAAATATTACATCAGATATATCTCTAAGAGCATCGAGGAGAACATTGTATTGAAGATCAAAGAGAGAGAAGAAGCCATATAGCTACTAGCTATGGACCCGTAGGTCTGTGGTAAACTACTCATGCTTCATCGGAAGGGCAATAGAGTTGATGTAGATGCCCTCCGTGATCGAATCCCCCTCCGACAGGATGCCGAAAAAGGCCCCAAGATGGGATCTCACGGGAACAGAGGGTTACGGCGGCGGAAAAGTATTTTGGTGGACACTTCTGGTCGCTTGGGAATATTTGGGAATTTATAGTGCTAGAATTAGGGTTTGAGGAGCTCCGAGGGACCCACAAGCCAATCATTGCGAAAGTTTTATTCCGTTTGGACTCCGTTTGATATTCCTTTTCTGTAAAACTCAAAAACAAGGAAAAAAACAGAAACTCGCACTGGGCTCTAGGTTAATAAGTTAGTCCCAAAAATAATATAAAATAGCATATTAATGCATATAAAACATACAAAAAAGATAATATAATAGCATGGAACAATCAAAAATTATAGATACGTTGGAAACGTATCATCGAGACGACAAGCATGGTCATGCCATCCATATCCATATGGACATAGGACCGACATGTACGGTTCTCTCGCCTTGTGGCCCAGATTGGGTCGGTGGCCATGATGGTGCAGAGGCGGCAGCACTGCCTCCCTACTCCCCGACATTTCAGTCTTCAATTTCCATGGGTTGAGCCGTGGCCATGATGGTGCAGAGGCGGCAGCACTGCCTCCCTACTCCCCGACATTTCATGCTTCAATTTCCATGGGTTGAGCAGGAGCACGTCCTGGAAGTCAGGCGATGGATGGCAGCCCCCCCCCCCATGACGCGCCACTTGGTCTTGATCACCTTGTCAATTAAGCATGCATTGGTTATTATCATTGCACAATAAATCAAGGAAGTGCACAATCAAAGAGAAATCATCAACATGCAAAGACATAAGCAGTGCATAAGTGAAGCATAAGATGGACATTGCACATTGGCATGATCTAACACAAAAGCCATTGCACAATCATGGACATGCAAAGACATAGGTTGTGCCAAAGTGAATCATGAGCACGGACATTGCACATCGACGCGATATAACACAAAAGGCATTGCACAACTATGGACATGCAAAGACATTGATAGTTCAGAATTTAAGCAAAAGCATGGATATTGCACATTGGCATGATCTAACACAAAGGCATTGCACAATCATGGACATGAAAAGACATCGACAGTTCAAAATTGAAGCATAAGCATGGGCATTGCACATTCGTGTGATACAAGCCAAAGAACCGAGGATAACCATTGACATGCACATTGGCGAGATCTAAGACAAAGAAGTGCACAATCTAGCATAACCATTGACATGCACATTGGCATGATCTAAGGTAAAGCAGTGCACAATGTAGCAATGTGCATGTACAATCCAAATGGACATGCACAATCCCGCTTACATGCACATCGACTGCCAAAAATTTGATGTGTACAATCTAACCAAATCATGCTAATCAAATGTACGAATATAAAAGAAATTCTAACCGCATATCCAGTCCCTTGAGAACTAGGCATTCCGCTTGAGGTGGAGATGAAAGCGTCCTGAATCGACCTAAATCACCCTATCCG